ATGTGTGGGTGCTCAGGTTGTCACGGTGAGTTTGTTGAGGTCAGAGTCAGTTCTCTCCTGCCATGTGGGTCTAGGGGCTCAAACTTCCAAACATCAGGCTTGGAAGCAAGTGCCTTTGCCCATGGAACCATCTGATGGCCCAAGAGTAACTTTCTTTCTCCAGTGATGCCTGCTCTACTGCCCCATAGGAGCAGGGATCTTCAGGAACTAAATGAGGTCAGGATGTGAAAGGATGACACTGGTAACAAAGTGGTGAGTTCTAGTCTTTGGTGTCACATGCTTCCATTAAATACCCCTATTAACAGATTGCTGTCCCACAGGGATGTAGGATCTGCAAAATCCTAAGCTCTGGGCATGAGACCAGCATGAGTCCCAGGCCCATTTCCCACTTCCCACCCCATTCCCAAACTCTGTGTGATTCTGTAGCTGGCTCATTAGGGAAAATAAAATGCCTTCACAAAGCACTTTGTGAGACTCACAGGGCTGATGAATTCTCCCATTGTCACTGAGCTAGCTCATTTAATCTTCAGAAGTTTATACAGCACCGGTTTCAATGGTTCTTTTTCAAACAGAACTTTAAGCCATAACGTTTCAGAGGGGAAGAGATTAGCTTTTCCTTTTCAATTAAACTCAGGCACTTGCCCTAAGAAACTTATCTGTCAACTCCATCAGTGAGAAAATTGCAAACAAGGACCAGGAAGCTGGCTCAGTCGGATGACCAGAGTTCAATCCCTGGAACTCCTGTAAAAAGCTGAGTGTGACTGGATGTGGTGTAATCCCAGCACGTCTGTGATCAGGTGGGAGAAGAATCTCCCAGAAGCTTACAGGCCAGCTAGCCTACAGTACATAGTGCAGCAGAAACAGTAAGAAAGACCCTGGTGTGGGATGGGACAAGATGGCTGAGGGACTAAAGAGGCTTGTGACCAAACTTGAGGACCCAAGTTTGTTTCCTTGGTGGTAGGAGAGAATAGACTCCCAAAAGTTGTCCTCTGACCTCCACTCTTGGGCCTTGATATGAGTCGGGGGGGGGGGGGGGGGCATTGAGCCCTGATAGGAGGCGGGGGGGGGGGGCTGCACACACACACACACACACACACACACACACACACTAAAGAAGTTTTTAAAAGACCCTGCCTCAACAAGGTGAAAGGCAAAGCAACTCATGAAAGCTGTCTTCTGATCTCATCTCTTGCCTGCATACACACAGATGCAGACAGACAATATTTAAACATTTTTTGCATTTACTTATGTATGTGTGGGGTTTGGGCAGGGGAGAGTGGATACACGGCTGCCATGGCATGTGCAGAGGTCAGAGGACAACTTACAGGAGTCAATTCTCTCCTCCTACCTTGAGGGCTCTAGGGATCAAACTCAGGTTCAGGTTTGGCAGCAAGTACCTTTACCTGCTGAGCCATCCCAGGCCCCTAAACTTGGTTTAAGAAGCAGGTTAAACAGTTGCCTGAGGGACTGGAACTGAGAATAGACATTTTTCAGAGTGCATTTTTATACCTTTGACTATTTCTGTTTTGTGCGTGTTGCCACTTTATAAGGAATTGTACTCACTAGATAATACAAAGTTCTTGAATAACATACCCTCACCTGTGGCCCATTTCTTTTTTCTTTAAAGACTTATTTTAAATTATGTGTATGTGGGGACTGGAGAGATGGCTCAGCGGTTAAAAGCACTGACAGGTCTTGCAGAAGAGCCAGGTTTGATTCCCAGCACCCACATAGCAGCTAACAACCATCTGTAACTCCAGTTCCAGGGGATCTGATGCGCTCTTCTGACCTCTGTGGGCATTGCACAACACAGGTGCATTTATGCATGCTGGCAACAATACACTCATACACATTAAAATAAAAATTAATGTGTATGTGTATGTATCTGTGTGTGGGTATGTGCACATGAATGCAAGAGCATCAGGAAAGAAGAGGGCATTAGATCCCTTGGAGTTACAGGTGGTTGTGAGCTGCTAGACACTGGTGTTGGGAACCACCAGTCCTCTGGAAGAGCAGTTTTTTTTTTTAATTATTTTTATGTGTATGCGTGTGTTGCCTGCATATAGGTTAAGTGCACCCATGTTGTGCAATGCCCATGGAGGACAGAAGAGGCTGTGGGATCCCCTGGAAGTGTAGTTACAGACAGCTGTTGGCTGCCATGTGGGTGCTGGGATCTGATCCTGGGTCTTCTGTAAGAACAGTCAGTGTTCTTGACCGCTGAGCCATCTCTCCAACCCAGAGCAGTATGTTCTTAAGCCCTGAGTTGTCTCTAGTCCCAAAGCATGCCACTTCTCAGTCATGCCTGCCATGCCAGGAATGTTCCTGCTTAGGATTCCATTTACACACCACCTCTTCACAGTGAGAGCTGCCTTATCTAAAATAAACACACCTGCCTCTGCCTCCATAGTGCTGAGAGGAAAGGTGTGCACCACCACAACCAACCCATGTTTTGTTCTCTACAGTAGCCAGTGTTACCCTCTGACACTGAACTCCACTCTTGATTCTTGCAGCCAGAACCCCAGGTTGCCTTCAACTGAGGAACAATCTGGAAATTATGGGATACCTAAGTGACCGACCACACAGCATTGCCATGAACTGTGCTTCCCAACTGGAAGACATCATTCTCCTGCGCCACGGCCCCCACCTGAAAAACACATATACACTTGCCCTGCTGAATATCAGTGTTTGAAATCTACAGATTCAACCAACTGCAGGTCAAAAATATTGGGGGAGCTGGGTACGACTCATGCCTGTAATTCCACCAGGAGAGGCTAAGGCAGGATTACTTCTAGTTGGAGGCCACTCTGGGCTCCAGTGAAATCCAAGCTGGTTCATGTTAAGGCTCTTACTGCCAAGCATGATGGCCGAATAGAGCACCTGGAAAGAATGAACTCTTCCAAGTTGTCCTATGACCTAAACACACACACACACACACACACACACACACACACACACACACACACATAACATGGGCACACACACAAAAAAATAGATGATACATACTTTTTTAGATGGCCCATTGGGGTAAGGGTGCTTGTCACCAAGCCTGAAGATTTCAATTCCCTGAGCCCACATGGCAGGTGGATAGAGAGCCCGCGAAGATGGCACACGCTCAACTAGCCCAAACACACACACACACACACACACACACACACACACACACACACACACACACACACACACCTAACATGGGCACCCACACAAAAAAATAGATGATACATACTTTTAAAGATGGCCCATTGGGGTAAGGGTGCTTGTCACCAAGCCTGAAGATTTCAATTCCCTGAGCCCACATGGCAGGAGAGAAGTGACTATTCCAAGTTCCTCTGACTTCCACTGTACTGTAACACATGCATGCCTGCACACACACATATGCATATAAAATGTTAAAAACACAAACCCAAACCAAACAAAATAAAACCCCAAGGAGCTATCTTGAGCTCACAGCAGCTGCGATTACCTTAAGACCTGTGCAAGACTGGGTCTGTTAATGTCATTGAGTGGGGAAAGGGCTTGTGAGGTCCCACCCATTCCCAAGGATACATGGGCAATTGATGGTTGTTGAAAAAAGGGTCACTGCTACGTTGACCGTGTTCTTGTAAGAATCCTAATGAAACTCAGAGTTCCCCACATCCAGAAAATAGAGATTAGTTGAGAAGGGGAGTAGGAGTAGAGGGGGTCCAAGAGGATAACTGGGGGTCGAGTGTGATATCCAAATATATTATACACATGTATTAAAAACATGTATTAAAAAGATACTGGTCTCAGTGTCATAGTCATAAGCACTACATACACAGAAAATAACATTCAAACCTCATCATGACCACGTAAAGAGAATTATTCACTTATATTAATTAAACCCAGAGAAGCAACTGTTGCAGAGACACTCAGCAAGCCCATCCTAGTCAGCAGCTAACCTGGGAACTGAGGGTCTGTCTGACCAAAGCCCACAGGCACATGGTATCTCCTTCCACACACTGTGGACCAAAACATCTACTTGGATGTGTGGAACAGATGCCATGATGGGACCGACCTCACGAGGACAAGACAGCTCAGACTCTGCAGGGAAATGGGAATGGCAGAGCTTAACGTGTTTAGAAACTCCCAGCAAAGGACTGCTCAAGTGTTCCGTGGCTGTCACCAACGCTGTGAGCTGAGCTATACACGTTAACCATGCCTACAGGCTTACATTTTATAAAACCAGCACCAATTACCTTTTAAAACCTTTTCTTCCCTAAGATACACAGGTTTGTCCTATTCATGTGTCTCAGCTCACATCACACAATGATCTGGGCATGACTCTTCTTCCATTTTGTCCCAGTCTGCTAATACCTATTTCTCTATCCGCCCAAGAGGCAAGTTGTATGTGTGTCTGTGTGTATGTGTACCCTTTAATTTAGAGGAAGTATTCTTTGCTTGTCACCATCACCCAAACAGTGCAGTGTCACAGTTCTTTACACAGTATTTACATCTGAGGGCCACAGTCTAGAACTGACAATGCAGGAATACATACACCAGTCCATTTTCAGTGAAGGCCTGAGGCACTTCACTGATGAATGAATATCCAGACCCACTGATGAATGAATATCCAGAGACAGTGGTATATATACACATACAACATAGCAGTTTCGTCATGTCAACTTCAGGCATAAAATTCAAAGTCCTTAAAACTACTTCATGAATCTACAGGAAATCAACAGCTAACAGCGAACCTCAAGCTGTTCACCTGAATGCATCCGGCTGTGGCAGTGAGGATCAGTCCAGGAAGCAGTCAGCAACAACTAAGCTACCCACTCCCAACCCAGAAAGAACTTACCTCTGAGTTGCACATTTCAAAGACACCCAGTTTCCTGTGACTTCAAACTCATGACAAAATTGCATTTACCTGTGTTTGGTTTTGCATTTAATAGTAACCAATAAACTGAATGGTGTGTGTGTGTGTGTGTGTAGGAGGTGGGGGATGTACAGCATCATAACGAAGCACATGCTAGTTACACAGCTTTTCCTTAAAGGGTAAAATTTTTATTTTTGAGGAACTTGTTACTGCACATTTTCAGAGAGCTACATAAGAAAGCAAAAATGTTATCCTCCCCTCATCCTAGAAATAAATAAGGGCACAAAATTTCTTCTTAAATCATGACACTTGGAAAGTTTAGCACCAGCATCCAAAATAAACAACAAAGGAAAAAAAGAGCATTTACTATATATTTCAGATTTCTTTGGTTTGGGGAAATCCCCATGTGGTATTAATATTTCTTCTTTTAATCATCTTACCAAAACAGTACAAACCAGGAAAAAAATACAAAGCTAGTGGTGGCTGAAACTGGGAGGGATGGGAGGGCGCTCTCCTGTGCCTGTGCAGGTTCCTGGGGCGCAGCCTGATGGACACGCGCTGGCACGACGATCCCTCTGAAGTTGTTCGATTCTTAGAGAATAGCAGTAAACATTCTAATGTCCAAATCTTGGTTCATCTCTTCCACTTTATTGCTTGGATGTTTCTTTGGTGTTGTAAGGTCGTGGGTGCACTTTTTGCTTTATTTCTGGATGGTCATTAATTCTTTAGGTCACCTGGGAAAAGTCAAACTTGGTAAGAGTGACACACAATGATCAGAACTAGTTGAAAAAGGTGAAAATTATTTTCACCTATGGGGCACTAAAGTCTATACAATCTTGGCAGATAAACTGTGATGAAAAATCTTATTTTTTAATAAAATACTTTCAAAAATCAGAAAAGGCAGCACATTTCTGAGTGGGGAGGGGGAACTGTGGACTAGGGAGCTGCCTCAGCAAGTAAGAGCACTTGCTGTGTAAGGGTGAAGACCCAAGTTCAAATCCCCAGCACCTACATAAAAAGCCAGGCATGGGGGCTAGAGAGATTCCATAGTTAAGGGTACATATAGCTCCTGCAGAGATCAGCTTGGTTCCCAGTACCCATATCGGGCAGCATTCAACTTTGTAAGCTCCAGGGGGATCCAAGGCCTCTGGGCTTCTGCACCTGTACTCACGTGCATGCCCCTTCCCCCAATTAAAAACAAACATAAATCTTTAAAAACAAAACGAGTTGGACATGACCATGTGCCTATAACCCCAGCACTGTGGAGGATCACTGGAGGCAGAGCACCCAATGTTCTCCTCTGGCCTCTGCACATGTGTACATCCACTTACACGTACACACACACACACACACACACACACACACACACAGAGGCATTGAAACTCACTAAACAGTTTTACAAATGTCTTTTAAACTAAAGTTCAAGAAGAGGGTGAAAAGCAAGAAATACATAAAGCCAATCTTGGTTAGAAGGCTGTTAAGTAAAAAACCCAGAATGAAGCAGGTGTGGGCCAAGTGCCTGCAATCCCAACATGTGGGCCCAAGTTCAAGAGCAGCTTGGACGGCACAGCAGCCAAGAGCTTAAGAGTGAGACTGTCTCAAACAAACAAACAAACACACACACAAACCCAAAATAAAACCAACTATGGATATAAACTCTTAAGCTTAATCCTGTAACACAAGGTCTTCCAGGCAATACTTTAATGTCCATGAATAAAATCGACAAGATCTTTAACAGAACAGAAAACAGAAGGAACAAAGACAGTAACAAAAATGACAGGCCACCCTCACACTGAGAGGCTGTTCTTTTCTTTTCCTTCCCCATTCTAAGCACTTCATGTGTTTACTTCAATCCTTGTGACAACCTGAGCCAGCAGGGTTCCCTTCTCCATTGGACCAGCAGATGTCAATGTGGCAGAGGATGAACTGCTTAATTCGAAATCACCCAGTGGTAGGCCAGAGCTGCTGTCTTCACTAGGTCTTACACTACACTACACTACACTACACTACACTACACTACACAACACTACACTGTTACAAAATAAACACTTATCAAAAGAAAGTCAAAACCATTTTAATCTATGCTACAGGTAATGGTCCTCTTGGTAGTAAAACCAGACCCTTTTAAAATGATCAAACTGATCCTGGTGTAGTGGTATAGCACCTGCAAATCCAAGTATTCAGGAGGATCATGAGCTCAAAGTCTGTGCTACACTGTAAAGCACTGTCTTAAAAACTAAAAACAAAACAGTTCTGTTGGCTAGTAGGCACCAGAACAGCATCAACTTTCTTAAGAGGTACTTAAAAACTGTCTGCCTGGGCCTAGGAGATGGGTCAGTAAACCACCTGTCACAGAAGTATGGGAACAGTTCAGGTTCCCAGCACTCATAAAAAGAACTAGGGATTTGGGGATGAGGGTAGACAGAGAAGATGGACAGGAGGCTCCTGAGACCTCACTGGCCAGATTGTCTAGCCCATGGGTAAGCTCTTGTTTTAGTCAGAGACTTTTTCTCAAGAAATAAGCTACAGAGTGAGATGTAGCAGCCTCTGGTCTCTACATACACAAGTGCTGCTAAGTCAGGCATGGTAGGTGTTGGGTACAATTTGTAAACCCAGCCCTCAGGAAGCTTGAAGTAAAATTGCCACAAGTTCAAGGTTAAGTGTGGGCTATGTAACAAATACCATGGCAGTCAGGGCTGAAATCCTGTCTCTGAAAAACCAAACGACAGAAACACATATAAAAAATAATGGGCAGGAGAGACAGCTCAGTGGTTAAGAGCATCAAATGCTCTTTCAGAGGACCTGGGTTTGGTTCCCTGCACCCATATCGGGTGGTTCCAAACCACCTGTAACTTAAGCTCCTCCAGGTGATCTGAAATGCCTCTGGACTCTGGTAGGCACTTGTACTCACATGTGCACATTCTCCTCCTCCCCAGTAATTAAAACTCCTCACACATATGCTGTGGCACATGCACCCACCTCTCCCACAAAAGTAAATTTCAATACATAAAGGCTGTCTTAGAAAAAGCAGTTGGCTACTATCAATCCTGTCTCTATGTTTATACCTCAAAACTTATTTAAATAAGGTCAATACCACAGATAATAAACCACCCACTGTATTCCCTCCACCACTGTCCCAACTTCACGATGGAGACTGGCAGGCTCACATCTGCACTGCTGAGGGAACTTGGCTCACCCTGCTGGTTGGTGGTGAAGGTGTCCAGGAGCCGGAGTCACTCGGCACTGCTCTGCTCGGTGACAGGAGCAGGGTTCTCGGTTGGTGCTTCACCTGCCTTGGTCTAAACCAGAGCAAAACCATAAACAAACTTAAGAGGATCATGCAACATTTAAGGATAAAAGGTCTCAAAAGTGAATTTTCATGTGGCTGGAGAGATGGCTCAAGGATTAAGAGTACTAGCTGTTCTAGCAGAGGACCCAGGTTCAAGTCCCTGTACCCTCATGGTGGCTAACACCTGCCTTTAACTCCAGTTCTAGGGGAGCCAATGCCCTCTTCTTCTGGGCATTGCACAATATGGGTACAGTTATATACATTCCTGCAGGCAATACACTTGTGAACATAGAATCAAAATAAATTTTAAGAAAAAAATTTAAGAAAAAAGTCAACTTTCTTACCTAGTAAGACAATGTAAACTTTAACTTGTCATTATGTGTGTGATCAGCAATTAAGTGACACATAAGACTGGCTTCTACTTGACCAGTAAATACCTGTAAGGCCCAGAGTCTGTGGTATGTAACTGCTGTCAACTCATGCTGAGAAGCTTTTCTGTTTCTATTCACTGCTGTCCTGCGTCGTGACAGCTCTCTCACGATCCCTGTTAGTATAATTCCTTCAAGGAATGATAAGTCAAATACTCAGTTTGTGTTACAGGCAGGGCATATTCTCTACAGATGGACCCTAAGTAAAATGTCATACTTGTTAAGTGTCCCATTATGTGCAGTAAGGCCATTCTTAGAACAATAAAGATGATGTAACTAAAGATGACCGACAGTGCGCTCCTGGCTGCTGGCTTTACCTCTTTGCCATCTTGTGAAACAGGGTTCGTGGGACGGGGACGACGCCGATAGTTGTAGGGGCGCCGGAATCCACGGCGGGTGGATGGCTGGTTTGGACCACTGGCCCCTTGCTGATTCTCTTTATCTTCAGCCTCTCCGATAGCAGGTGCAGGTCGTGGGCGAGGAGGTCCCCTAGAGCAAGGAGCAGAAGAACATGAAAACAAGTGCAGTGAGATGGGAGTCTCTCAAGGACTTGGGGTTTACTGGTAGAGTCAAGAGATCTCCGTATACCCCTAGAATCATCCACAGGCCAATCCTGCAGTTGGAACAAGGAGGGGTTTGTTGAAAAGCCTTCTGTACTATTTTGATCTTTCACTCGTTTGCATATTGTAGTGAAGAAACAGCAGTGAACACTTAGGATGCTATTGGACACTTTGATAGGGACTAAGGACAGGAAAATGGGAAAAGTGGTCTGAGGGGCTGGAGAGATGGTTCAGTGGTTAAGGCAACTGGCTGCTCTTTCAGAAGACCTGAGTTTGGTTCCCAGCACCCACATGATGGCTAACAACTGTTTGTAACTCCAGTTCCAGGGGATCCAATATCCTCTTCTGACCTCTGCAGGAATTGCACACACAGGTACGCTTAGATACATGTATGGAAAATACTCATACATGTCAAATAAAAATAAATAAAATGTTACAAGTGTTCTGTGATCTGCTCACCACGTACATAATTTAACAGGGATTGAAGGAGTTAAGCAAGGGGGACAAATAACACTCCTATGTGCCAAAGCCAGGGTTCCTGTGTTTTCACATTAAATATCTAATTCCAATACTAATTCTGTGAGCTACATCTATGGCAAGGAAACCAATGGGTGTGGAGAGGACAAATATTTGCCTGAATCATATGGAAGGGCTGCTTTCATTATAAAGAGGCCAAAGATGATGTGTCCAAGACCATCACAAAGGAGAAACAGCTGGATTCCTGAGCTTCAGAGCATCATTCTACAAAGACTCACTAAAGGAAGGACATAGCATAAATCTTTTCCCAATGTTTTTTTTTTTTTTTTTTTTTTTTCAGTAAATCCCTACTGATGGCATTTCAAGGTACAGGTTGAATACTCCTAACCCACAAATTTAGAACACTGAAATTCAAAACTTTTTCTGTGCTAACATAAGAGTCACATGGCTTAACACCTTGAAGCATTTAATTTTCAATTTTCAGGTTAGCATGTTAAACCAATAAAACCTATACAAATATTGCAAAATCTGAAAAAAAGACAGAGGATGAAAACACAGTTCTGGTACCTGGCATTTGACAGGGGATGGGGCATCCCACAGGATAATCATTCAGGAAGCTGAATTTTTATCCACTTACCTCAAAGGTAAGAAAAAGAATTTACAAACTTGTAATATAAAAACCTTCAGAGGGTACAGTGAGATGGCTCAGCAGGTAAAAGCACCTGCTAGGCAAGCCTGATGGCCTATGTTCGAGCACAGGAATCCTTGGTAGAGGAGAGAATCAACTCCTAAACGTTGTCTTCTGACCTCCACGCATGTGCCTAGGCACGCCCACATCCCCACTCACCTAATAATATATACGTATTATTATAAACAAAGCAACTTAAAACAACCCACTCCTTTACTAATATTAGGAGAAGGGAATAATGCTGATTATCTTAGATACACTGATGCATTTAATGTTCTTACCAACATACAGACCAGTTGGCCACAAAGGAGTCCCAAAATTTGCTGCTTGGCATATGGCTGTTAAATTGTAGAATTAAACATGGGCTCTGTGTTCCACTCCCAGTAAAACACTCCAGTGATTAAAATATTCACTAACTCAACAGTCCCTCCATTTCTGGAGTTACGATTAAACTGCCCATCAATTAATGTCTATTTAACTCATCTAATTAAAAATTACGTTTTAAGCTGGTTGCGGTGGCAAACAGACATAATCCCTGATTTGGAAGGCTGAAAGTTGACACAAGAGGATCTCAAACTCAAGGCCAGGCTAAGCTATGCAGCCAATATGAGGCAAGCCTGGGCTATATAATAAGACCCTGTGTCATGACAAAGTCAAAAGATTAATTTATATGACCATGTTTCAGGATGTCACCAACATTTCTATTTAAAGAGATGACAGCACTGGAGTAAAAGGTTATATCACCATCTGAAAATATACACTAAAGAGACCAAAACTTGGGGAATGTGGGACTGGGGATGTGGCTCGGTGTTACAAGAACCTGGGCATCTTCCCCAGCATGAAAAGAAATAAAACATCCAGGCCTGTGGTCAAACCCGTAACATCTTTCAATTATACCACCTCTCCAGGAAACTGACCCATAGTGTCTCATCCACCCAGCGCCCGTCCCTGGTCTTGGACAGGTTGACGTACATACCTGCGGAACCTTGGGCGGTACGTGGCATTTCGGTGAACCTGAAGCTGCGTTCCCTCTGGGACTCCATCCTTCATCTCTCCTATCTCCCCGGCCTAGAGGGCAACGAGAGCTGGAAATGAGTCAGGCCACAGGGCAGAGAGGGACAGAGCACACAGCTGTGTGCAAAACTGGCTTTAAAAAGCAAAAGTCGGGGCTGGAGAGATGGCTCAGTGATTAAGAACACTCACTGTTCTTGCAGAAGACCTGGGTTTGAATCCCAGCACCCACATGGCTGCTAACTAACCACTGTCCGTAACTCTAGTTCCAGGGGATCTGAAAGCCTCTTCTGTCCTCTGTGGGCATTGCACAACACGGATGCACTTCTCACTTACATGCAGGCAATACACACATTCATAACATAAAAATAATAAAATATTTTTTTAAAAAAAGCAAAAGTCAAAGTAAAGTGCTTCATCCTGCTGGTCCCAGTCACAACGCCAGCTATCTACTGGCAGGAAGGAAGGAAGCTTAGTCTTCCTGCAATAGATTTTTTAAAATCATTATTGAAAAGCACCTAACTTTATTTTACAACATTAATTTAACATCTGAAAATCTGGCATTTTCGGTACCTGAAAGGAAATTTATTTTAGAGGCTGAGGCTCTGGCTCAACTGATACAGCTCTCCCATAGCATGTCCAATGAACTAGATTTCACCATGGTCACCAAAAATATAAAATAACCCTATTTTATAAAAGGAAATTGACATTCAACACTCAGCAAAGAGCTTTGTTCAGCTGTTTCAAACACAGCATTGGTAGCCCTCAATATCATTAGGCATTTCCATAGTTGAGTCCAAATTTTAACCACGGGCTGCTGCAGAAGTAGGTCAGGCACAGTGTTTTGTCTAAGGCCTAAGGCCCTGGGTACAGATCCCAGCACTGAGAAAAAAATAAGAAAACAAAGAGAATTTTAACCACATCTCACCTGATTTCTCCCTTTCAGCTTTTCAACATTAATGTTGGGTTTTGCTTGTTTATTTTTTGAGACAAGTTGTGGCTATGCAGCCTTGGCAGGTCTCAAATATGTGATCCTCCTGCCTCAACCTCCCAAGTGCTGGGATTTCAAGCATGTGTCACTATTCCCAGTTTAGAAATACTTTCTTGGGATGGAGAGATGGCGCAGTGGGTAAGTGCACCTGCCACCCTGATTGACAACCTGAGCTTGATGCCTGGGACCCACAAGATGAAGGAGATAATCAACTCTCCTGAGTTGTTCTTTGACCTCCACAGTGCACTGTGGCGTGTGTATACTGCCCCCTCCCTACCGCCACTCACAAAATAAATAAGGTAGAATGGTCTGGATAATCAAATGTATTTCAATCTGAGAGAATAAAGTTAACTTACTACATAACTTCCAAAGGAAAGAAAACTGGTAACAGAAAAGCAAAACCTCAGAAACTACATCACCAATATTCTATGGAATTCTTTACAAAAGAGGTATACTTCATCTTTTTTTCCCCTATTTTCTCAAACATTTTGGGACTGTCAAGATTACTTAGTTGTCAAAGTGTTTGCCATGCAAGCATAAGGACCTGAATTTGGATCCTTAACAGCCAAGTAAGAAGCCAGGTATGCATTGTAATCCCAGCACTGGGGAGGTGGAGACAGGCAGATCTCTGCAGCTCACTGGCTGACTTAGCTAAATCAGTGAGGTCTAGATTCAATGAGATCCTACCTCATAAACGAAGTAGAAAACCATCTCAGAAGATACCCGACACTGACCTCTACATGTACACACACACACAAACACACACACATGCTCACAGCCACCAAACAACAACAAAAGACCGTCCCAGCCAGGCATGGTAGCGCACATCTATAATCCCAGTATTCAGGAGACTGAGGCAGGAGGATCATCATGAGTTCCAGGCCAGCCTAGGATACATAGTGAGCCCTTGCTTAAAAACAAACAAACAGGGCTGGAGAGATGGCTCAGTGGTTAAGAGCACTGACTGCTCTTGCAGAGGACCCGGGTTCAATTCCCAGCACCCACATGGCGGCTACAAACCGTCCTTAACTCCAGTTCCAGGGGAACCTGAAACCCACTTCTGACCTCCGTGGCATTGCACGACACAGGTGCACTCACATACATGCAGGCAGTACACTCATACACATAAAATAAAAAAATAAATAAAATATTAAAACAAACAAACAAACAAACAAACAAACAAAAAAAGACAAAACTAAAACCCCTTGCTCCTCTTCAGAGCCAAATATCATCTTTCATTTGTCCTCAGGAAAAAAGAAATGAGACTCTTCACTGCTTGCCAGCTCGCCTACCAAGCCCCCTGGGCATGTACTTCTGAGATTTCTATTCTACCACTCTGGAAGAGGGCGCTTCATGATCACACCCAAACATCTCTCTTCTCCCAACTCATAATGTGCTTGCTGTGCTAACCCTATTTATCTCCTCCTCTCCTTTTCTATTGACCTTTGGTTAAACCATATAAACACCCTGAAATATAGCATCTACTCTGTACTGAAAACACTGACGTACAGAACCCAGTCCTCAGAGTCTCATTTCACCATCTGTCTCCAATGCCTCTCACAGTAAGACACACCTAGAGTCGTGTTTTAAATTTATTTCCATTTCTTTGAACTACTTCATCATTCTCGGCTTCCGTGACCTGAGCACTTTAGTTTTGCTTGTTCTTCCTAGTGATTAGATCTAATTCCTGCAGCTTTGACAGGGAAACCACAGAAATGGCCCCACATTCTTGTGTCACTGTGCCCCGCAAGGTGGCATATAGTTTCACGGTACAAGGCTGCTGTTCCCTTTGGAGAATGGGGAAGTTGGAAACTGCTGAGCTCCGCTCAATGTTTGCTTTACCCCTTTGTAATTGAGGATTCTGTAAGGAAGTTCGTTCAGAAGTCTGTAAATATCCTGTTCCTCATCAAAATTTTCAGTCTGTTCATTTATTTACTTACATCTGTATGGACCCAGGAGTTTCTATTTTATTCAATGAGTTATAATCTGCTACTATCATTACTGGCCAATGGGAACCCCTTCTTGCTGACCCATGGCCTCTTGATGTGTCTCCAACGTTCTTTTGAGTACTTCCTGGCTTTCTGGCACAGGATGTTCAAGGCTTCTATTATATTTTCTCTATTCCAGCTCAGAAATCAACCATTTCTAGAAAGAAGCTTCTTTCCATTGAAGAATGGTATGAAAAACAGGAGACGAGGCATCCGTACCACTATTAGGTATCCCTGTATTTGGGGGTCTTTCAGTAAACAGAACTAAAGAAATGTAAACAGGTACATATGCCGAGCACATATATGCAATTCCATGTGTCCCATGTGTAAGTCTACCTATATTTCTGTATGTGAGGCAAATGTGTGTCTACCTTGACCTGCCTCACATAATGGCATTGGGCTAACTTTGATACGTGGTGAGAAGCAAGAGAGGCCAAGGAAACACTATCACAGAAAGCAGATCAAGGAAATGTCTTGCTGTGATCCTATACTGCTTTGAGAACCTTTAAGGATACACTGGGCATAGAAAATCTAACCCTATCACTACAGGAACATCCTCAAAGGCTAATTTCTCTCCTTATTCCCTACCACATTCTAGTTAAATGTGCCCTCACCATGGTAACGCTGTTCTCAAACCCAATCAAACCCAATCATTAGTTCTCAGCCTCGTGTCCTCTACTCCCCCAACAGGATATAACATAACTCCATTCCCCAACATGCCCCTCCCCACTGTCCTCTGCAGGGAAATGTTCATCTTCCTAGTCTCTGAATGTTGGCATGTCCTAGAACTCAGCTGTAAGATCCCCTTTCAACCATGTTAAGCAGGCATCTAGCCTCACCCTGCCCTACGGCTGTAAGTACCCTGTTTTAGAGGCCAAAGTTGTATCTAGAGTCCCTGTCTCCCTTCAGACTTGCTTCCTTGGGCACGTCACGCCTTTCCATTCATAGTGCTGTGTTTCTTTGTACCTGAAAAACCTGTTTACTTGTGTTTCACTGGCTCTCTTATCAAATGCCACTTCTTGAGCTCCAAAACTTCTGTCAAGTACCATCACTTAAGACTACATCTTCCTACCTCCAGATACTTTTTATTTCTGACTGCCTTAGCCTTCTGCCAACTTTACTGTGGAAGAAAGACCTCAAAATAAATAAATACCACCTTTCCCCTAAATCTAATCTTTCTTCGCTCTTCTCCTATTTTTTGCTTAAGTCCACAGAGGTATCATTAACTCTTCATGCAATCGGCAAATGTCACCTCTGTGTGGAAAGCATTTCCCTGCCCCTCACTCGCACTGGAAACACAGTATCCAGCCCACTCCCATGTATTTCCGGAATTTGTACTGGCTGACCTTCCTGATTTCATGTTTATTTCCTGTGGTCTGATCACAACAAGAAGGGCAGATAACTACATAAATGTTTATTCTCAGCTCAGAGTCCCACTCTGGCCTCATCACATTTAGAAGAAGCCAAAGGTCCTTACTCTACCAGGAGTGACTGTCCATCCCCCGCCCCTAAGATCTCACCCTACTCACTCCTCCCCACCTCCATACTTGTGGTCCCAACCACACGAGCCTGTGTTTAATTTCCTGAACACACCAACAACAAACAAGACAGGAATCACTAATTTATTATCTGTGTGTATATGCTGCTTTGTTTTTATACATGTACGTGTGTGTGCATGTCACAGCACATGTGCAGAGGGTAGAGGACAACCCAGGCCTTGTTTGTTAATGCATAGCCCAAGCTGAAAGCTTCAGGAGAGCCTTCTGTCTTCACTGCCCACCTCGCTATAGGAATGCTGGGATTACATACGCATACTGCCATGCCTGCCTTATGTAGGTTCTGGGGATCTGAGCTCAGTCCTCATCCTTACGTGGCAAGTGCTTTGACCCACTGAACCAGCTCTCTGGGCATCAAAGTTGTTTGAGTATGTATAACTATACAGAGATCACAAATCTATTTCCTTAAACCCAACACAAACACTACTGGCTGAATGGCACCCCCCGCTCACCAAGTGCATACAATAAATTTCACTCTGAGGTAGGCATATCCAAGAAAATGTTATCAAAGTCTATTTGACTCAATAGCTTTTAATCACTCTACAGTTTGATCTTCACTTTTAAAAATGTATTCCAATGACAGCCCTGAAGCTCCTAGTGACAAGTAAACAGCTTTCACAAAGTTTTCAGTCTGAGCTGTCGATTTGGCTTAAGGACAGTCTTCGTCACTGCACACCAACAGTACAGTAACATGTAAGAAAGACGAACGGAAAATCACTGAAGATAGCTAACCTGGCCTTTATTTCCCATATGGAATGGCTATTAAGTCAGCATGCACTGAAAACAACCACGCGCAGTTGTGTGCCGAGAATAAGTGCACCGCTCAAAATCAGTAACTCAAATGGTCTTCTATACAGCACTGAGGGATCACTTTGCTCCGAATCTTTAATTGTAACATGAAAAGGGCTCTTTTAAGTAAAGGTGTGAAAGAATCACTATTGTCTCAGGAAGTATGATTTACCTAAGTTAAATAATGAGCCAAATGATCCCAGGAAGTCACGACTAAAGTGGTGAATAAATGGTAGGACCCCACTGACTGCCCTTGCTGGTTCCCTAGAAGCCGAGAGTACTGGCCGGAAGAACCCTACTACGCCTCATGCACCCAGTGTCTCCACAGATCTGATTTGACTTGTTATTTTTAGCGCATTTGTCAGGGGCAGCTGTTGAAGGGAAAAAAAAAAAAACAAGAAGTATAGCAAGGAACAGAGTGAACACTATGTTCAGTCAAAACATTGCATGGGAGGGGACGCTTCGGGGGGGGGGGATAAAAAATAAAGGCCTATCCCTCGCTTCCCAAGTTTCCTGAGAATTGCAGCTTTGGTGTCACGTTGATTCATAACAAACTCAACGAAAAGCGCTACTAATATTTTCTCCATTCTGTTTCTTTATCTACAAAATCGGCACTTTCCCATTTAATTTGGTACTTTAAAAATATTTCCTGTGTTGTAGGCACTGTACTACACCTTCATATTTAATAGAACATTCCAGTGAAGGCATTTAATGTCTCCATTTAACAGATGAACCATTTTATCTAACATTTGATTTTCTCAAAACTTCAGATAAGAAGTAGAAATAGGATTAAAGCTGAGGCCCTGATGGAGTTCAGAGTCCAAGAGCCTATACTCAACCATGTGTTGCACCATGTATATGCACCACAGGTGAGCCTTGAACTGGGAAACCTCCTGCCTCAGCCTCCCAAGCACTGGGATTTTAAGCATGTACCACCATGCCTAGCTTATTTGTCTTATGAGTCTATACACTAGAAACCCTACCCACAGGTCATGCATGGCTCATGTGATGTACTTCCAGAAACGGTTTTAGGATGAGTGACCTGAAAAGCTGAAGAGGGCCTTGCCTCAGCTTCTGTAGCATGGCGAGCCACAAGCAAGGTGTTACACTTCGGCAGCTGGAGTTGAAGGAGGAAGAGGAGGAAGAGGAGGAGGAGGCAGAGAAGGATGGAAGGGTGAGGATTGCTGAGGAGGAGTCCCAGGAGCAATTTTACCTGAATTCTGTTGGGATGGGGAAAGACCCGTGAGCGACGGTCAAAGGTCTGTCCCACGTGGTAAGGCGGGAAACGCCGCTGCCGGTACTGAGGGCGATACGGGGGGCGGCGCAGCTGATTCCGGGCCCCAGAGAACTGCCCGTCTGCGGCAGGGGGCTCAAATCCTTCACTGCTGCCGCTCCCTTCCTCCTCCTCCTCCCCAGCGTACTAGCGAAGCAAAGAAACAGAGATTCAGAAGAAGTTTCAGCAAGGCAAGAACCAAAGAATACCACTTAGGATGGACATCACCAAAAGAAAACACCCCAGTTCAAACTCCCCAGAGCAGTCATCCCTTTTACTGTGCCAACAAAATCAAATGCATTTAGCCCAGATCATCATCTGATTCCCTGGGGTAAAGTACATTGAAGTCAAAGTAGATCTCTGCGGATAAGATCTCAAGCAGCAGAAAAGCAGGAGCAACTGGTCTACTAGCAAATTTAACCGTCACTGGATTAGAACTGGGGTTACGCTACTTAGCTCCTTCCAATATGTCTCCTAATATTTACCCACTCCGGCAAAGTCAAGGAAGTGTCAAGAAAAAAAAAAAAAGTACTTTTAGGGTACCATCAGCATTTCTGATCTAAGTGGTATACTTCCTAAAGCAGTTCTTAAAGTGCAGCTTTCCAGGGTCAGCAAACACAAAGAACTCCCCTATTCTACTAAGACCCTGGCTGCCAGTTTTCACAATCATCTCTCCCAGCGTGTGGAGGTCTTCTACAGGATGCAATGGCATGCAGTCTCAGCAGACCAAACACAAGACAGACAGGAGAAGAACCGTTTTTTTCTATGAACTGTACATCAGAGTTAGGCAAAAGTGAAACACAATACCAGCCTTCTTCCTCAATGTACATACATGTCAATATATAATGGGTTATTTTAAATATTTTAAATCTTTTAATTTTCTAATACAATTAATAGTGATAATAATACCATAAACAAAAATTCTGGGATCCTCAATGACATCTAAAAGGATTCAAATACCTTGAGAGATAATGATCTGTTGCAGCTTTCTCTTTAAATGTTTAGAAATAAAGTTTTAACTGTATTTTAATAGTGAATCCTAACACTATTTCTAAATATAGACCTTAAAAGGGATTTCCTGACTTTTTTCCTATGTGTGAAATATTACTTCACATTCGACCATTTTTCATTTTAACACATTTAACCACCAAACATCCTCACCAGTTTATGATTTCAAATCTCACCCTAAATATGCAAATGACAATGACAATCTTTGCAAGAAATGCCTGTTTTGTTTTTTTTTTCTTAAACTCAATTAAAAACTGATAGTGACCAATTTCTCTTGGAGGATGGGTTCCTTAAGCTTCAGTGTCTCCAGAGCAAATCCACGTGGGCAACCAAATCCCCCAAAAGAATTGGCTTAGCCTAACTTCATAAAAGTCAGCACACTATACTCTTGACAGTACTGGGCTTGAAAGAAGGGCCTCACATATGTCAGGTAAGCATGCTACCACTGAGCTACAGTCCCAGCCCTCTTTTACTTTTTATCTTGAGAAAGGGTCTCACTAAGTTACTCAAGTTGGCCGTGAACTCACTCTGTAGCCCAAACAGGGCTTGAACTTGTGATTCTCCTGCCTCAGCCTCCCAAGTAGCTGGGATTGCAGACCTGTACCACCAGGCCTGGCTCATTCTACTCTTTATAAAACCTGTATGAATAAATGATTCACAGTTATGTAAAGATTTATTTTGCACAGAAACTATTCACCAATTACTAAGTGTAAGACCACATAAATTTCTGAAGCATAGAACCAAATCTTTTCATAAAGAACTTTGAGAGAAACAGTGACACCACCATTGATGACCACATACTTAGGAGGTACTCTATAAGCTGTCTGGACTCAGCACAATGAAACATCTCCACATAGGAACACTACACAGCTTTTCTAGCTCTTGGAAGAGAAAGCCTTCTAGGTAAAAGGTTTCTACCACTTTCATTTCTGAATTGACCTAGAAGTCAAATTAATCACAGCTAGAGATCTGTGAACTGACTGAATTGGAGTTAGCATCACGTAGTAAGCTCTACAATAGCTCATCCCTACCCCTGTCCCTCATAGATTACTGTGTGCATGTGTGTGAGTGGGGGGCGGTATGTTCATGTTCATGTTCATGTGTATATAAACATGCAGATGTGCAGGTGTGTAGGGGAGAAGTTGCTGTCAGGTGTCTTCTTCAATCACTCTCGACCTAACTTCTGAGACAGGGTCTCTTCCTTGAACCTGGAGGCTCAAGCTAGGCTTGCTGGCCAGTGAGCTCTATGGATCCACCTGTCTCTGCCTCCCATTGCTGGGGTTGCAGACACATTAAGCGGTGCCTGGCCTTCAGTGGTTGATGGGGATCTGCACTCCAGTCCTTATGTACTCCAGTACAACAAGTACTTTACTGACCAAAACTAATCCCTGTCCCTCAGAGATTATTTTTTAAACTCAAATAGAGTAAACAAAAGAAAAGTAAGAAAAATATAAACAATTTTTTTTATATTTCTGACCAAATCAATTTGAGACAGGAATAAAGATGGCAGAATAAAGAATAAAAGCATTTAAGTAAAGAAAAAGTGTATGTGTCAAAACAAGTCATTCTCTATCTGCAAATCTTTTTCTGAGGTTTTGTTTTTTTTTTAAGTGTCTCTTTGTGTAGCACAGGCAGCTGCCCTCCTGTACTCACAGAGCAGCCTATGCTGTCTACAATGCTGGTCTCAGGTTTTACTTCTAAAAACATTAAATTAAAATAGACCAACTTATTATCTTACCTTTTAAATTCAAATCTAGCAAGGTCCTCATGACCAGTTAACTGGGTTTATTATGCATGTCTTGAAAATACTCCTTTAAACTGAACCTCCCAAGAAAGCTCCAAGCAGATTCTGCTGTAAACGCTTTCACCTGGATTGGGACTGATCTAAAGAACTCAAAATCTGAAATTACTCACTGCTTCTTTACTTTGAAATAAGAGCAAAATGATATGCTACATGAAACGGCTATTTAATTGAGGTGAATTATTCAGTACTTTGTGGCCAGCACATACTGCGATTTTCACACCAGCTGCTCTCCTTCCTTGACATCCAAACACTGACTTTCTTAGGTCAAGAGTGTCAGCATCCAGGCAGGAATAGGTCACACCACTGGTGATTGCAGCCCTGCTCCCTGTGCCAGTGAACCACAGGACAAGGCACGGGTCAAATGAAGATAAAGCCTTTGGACAACCTTGGCACTGCCTATCTTATTTAAATCTCCTTGTTACAAGGTAATTAAAAGTCTGTTACTTGCACCCAAGTGAATCTTAACTGATACAAGTTCTAACTGGCAAGTTTCCAATGAGACCAGTGGCTAGGGATAAATTCTGGGCACTAAGTATTTCTCTTCAAAACAAACAAAAATAATCATGTGTCCTATTTCCTGGATATGGCACTGCCAGATACGGCATTTATCTGCTCCAGTTATGTACGTTTAATGCAAACATGAGAATATTTGCGATCAATGGTTAGGGACACAGACAACGTACATTACGGGGCGGTCCACGGCGTCTGCCAAAGTAGCCACGTCTATAGCGGCGCCGATCAGCAGCATAACGACTCCCTTCTACAGGAACTCCATCGGGCCCAGTCACATTAGCTGCTTCAGCACCCTGAAAAAGGAAAGAAACAAAATACACCAACAACCTCCAGCACTATACAGCTCTGGTACTAAGAACTCCTATGACTGAGATCTCAAAACCACTTTCTCCAAGATAATGAAGTTGTCTGCCATCTGGTGTACAGCCACACAGCATGACAAAGCTTCACCTTCTTGGGTGGTCTAGCAAGTTCAAGAGAAATGGTACCTCTTTAGAAACTGAATGCAAACACAAAGGTGCATGTGGGAGTGAGGTGAGACCAGAACATTCCTGAACACAAGAGAAACTGAACTACTGCAAATCTTCCCAAAATGCTTTGAAACGCGCAGTATCCTAAGGTCCCAAGGGAATCCTGATGGGTGGGCTCTGGATGCTCTGTCCAGCACTGAAACTTCCCCAAGCTTGGCAGAAACAAGGAAAGATCCTTGACTTAGAGGAACACAGTCTCCACACAGGTAGCCCCTCTTCAGTCCTTCCTGCTATAGCCTTGAAACAGACTTAAGAGTTCTTTCTTAGGGGCTGGAGAGGTGGCTCAGAAGTTAAGAACACTGTCTGTTCTGAAGACTGGGCTTCGAATCCCAGCACCCACATGGCAGCTAACAACCGTCTGTAACTCCAGTTCCAAGGGATCCGATAGCCTCTTCTGTCCTCCACGGGCATTACACGACATGAGTATACTTACCTACATGTAGGCAATACACGCGTACACACACACAAAAAAATAATAAAGTATCTTAAAAAAATGATTTAAGAGTTCTTTCTTCTTGGTGTCAGGGATTGAACCGAAGGCCTCATGCTTACTAGGCAAGGAGTAGTCTAGCACTGAGCTATATCCCTAGACGTCATACAATCAAGTTCATCTGTGTTAGCCCTTGAAAAGCCCCACTTCTTTGATATGTGGCTCTGCTAGCAGGCAGGAAACTTGAACTTTCTGCAACCTCAACCACTTATTCTTTACTCTGTAGCTAGGTGCAGAGAGATATATTAACCTGACCAGTGTGAACCCTAGCAACTATGCCCTGGGAGTTCCCCAAAGTCAGCCTACATATCTGTCTAGAGCCTACACTGCAGACAGCATTAGATCAGAGACATGGGGATCTGCGGAAAGCTCTGTCTCCAACGTCCCTGCTGTCTGTAGCCAGTGCACACCATGAGGAGAGGAATCTGGTCACCTTAACTGGCTGAACAGTAAAGACTTTTTTATTCGGGGGTTGGAGGGTATGTGGTTGGTGTATTTTTGAGACAGCGTCTTTCTATGTAGTCCAGGATGGCCTCAAATTTTCAACAACCTTCCTCCCTGTCCCTCCTACTTCTAGGAATACAGGAGTGAGCCACCAGGCCAAGATAAACATTCCATTTATTCTTCAGGGTCATTTGACACAGGGTCTCACTCTGCAGCCCTGACTAGTCTGGAACTCAGAGATCTACCTGCCTCTGCCTCCTAAGGGCTGGAATGAAACCCTATTCTGGTAAAAAGAAATCTTTGGGGGCTGGAGAGATGGCTCAGCAGTTAAGAGCACTGGCTACTCTTGCAGAAGACCTGGGTTTATTTCCCAGCACCCACATGGCAGCTCACAACTGTCTGTAGGTCTAACTCCTTCTTCTGGCCTCTGTGAGCATCACATGACAGAGGTGCACTTACGTACATTCAGATGAAACCCTCATACACATAAAAATAGATTTAAAAATCCAAAATAGCATTAATTCATAGGTCTGAAAATCACTTATTATACAAAACTCTGTTCTGCCTTACCTTGTGTTACCCTGCCCATCTCTCACCTTTTCTCCTTCCACCACATCAAACTCTACAGTTTCTCCATCTCCCACACTGCGCAGATATTTCCGTGGGTTATTCTTCTTGATGGCAGTCTGCCAAGAAAAGAGAAAACTTCATTTGAGGTGTATTTCAAGACTGGCCAACAGCAAAATGCTTTCATCAATTTCAAGTTAATCAGAGTAAGTGTGAAAAAACTGTCCCTGTATTTTGCTTAAAAAAAAAAAAAAAAAAAAAAAAAAAAAAAAAAATCATTCTATTTTCCTATTAACCTGGATCTCCAGGCAACAAAATAAACATTCTACAACTAGAATGCACATTTCTTTTGTGGTTTGTGGGATGCTTTGAAATTCACCCTGGTAGGTGGATTAAAGAGAACTATAGTTACTACAAACTGTTGTACCTTGGTCACTTAGCCAAGATACTAGATTAGTCAGTTATATACATCAAGCCAAGAGGCTCTGGAGGGTCTGACTGACTCCCTCTGCAAGGGTGAAAATGCTTACATGAGCTCTTACACAGACACACACCACAGTTTGGGTACGCAAGTTTTGTACACAAGAAAAACTTTCAGCTTCAAAATCATTTTTAAAATGGGGAGGAGGGGCTAGAAGAAATGGCTCAACAGTTAAGAACACATACTGCTCTTGCAGAGGATCTAAGTTTGGTTCCCGTTTAAAACCCACACATGGGGTTGGAGAGATGGCTCAGTGGTTAAAAGCACTGACTGCTCTTGCAGAGGACCTGGGTTCGATTCCCAGCACCCACATGGCAGCTATGAACTGTCCTTAACTACAGTTCTAGGGGAATCCTAAGCCCTCTTCTGACCTCCGTGGCATTGCATGACACGGGTGCACTCACATACATGCAGGCAATACACTCATATACATAAAATA